CCCTCCCCACCCAGCCCCTCTCCACCCTCCCCTCCCCACCCAGCCCCTCCCCACCCCACCCTCCCCTCTCCACCCAGCCCCACCCCTCCCATTTTTGGATGCACGACGGACGGACGGACACAATAATCCCCTGTAGGCTGGTGGAACCAGGTGGTTCCTATCAGTACAATTTCTGTTTTCTCGCTTACCCTTTAAGCTATCGACCCCCCCCCCCTCTGCTGCCTTGGTATTGGCTCATCAGCCTCATTATTTGGGGTGGGTCACCTGTAGCCACCTGTGGGTTTCAATTACCCCCCACCTCGCTTAATCATCCCTTTTGTTTTCCTCAATTTAAAGGAGTCTGATTCAAACCAGCTGATGCCTTTGTTGAGCATTAAAAACTGGTCTACCAACCGGTCCAGCAAAAGACAACCTTCATTATTACAGAGCTTCCTCTCCCAAAAACACACACAAAGAAAATGTGCTGCGCTTGTATGTATGTGTATGTTGAACTTCTTTTCACACAGTACAGAGCCAACCATGCTAATCGGAGGTGCGGGGAAGGACAAAAAACTAACACAAAAAGCAGTTCTAAATAAATTCGTTTCCAATCTAGATTTAAAAGTGCATATCCCCAGTGGCTTCCTAATATCGGAAGAGCATTCCAGATGGCCGCAGAAGCGCATCTGAAAGCGCGCGATGCAGTAACCGTCTTTGTTCGATAGCTAGTTATCCAAAAGCCGCTGCAAGAATGAGTTTGCATTGATGTGATCAGCAAGGTATTGTGGTTCATTTGTGGCAAGCAATTTGTGTGTGATGAGTGCGACCTTAACGTATTCGTTCAGCAACTGGAAGCCAATGCACCTCAGCGAGCACCGGACGGACGTGGTCGGATCTTGCAGTTACCGTCACGACATATGCCAAAGAATGTTGTAAACACTGCAGCTTGCTAATGTTTTTGGCAAACGTCCCGTAGAGTAGTGAGTTGCAATAATCAAGCCTTGTCGATACAATGCTACACGCCACCGTATTGGCTATCTCGTGATTCAATAGTGGCCGAATGTGGTGATAAAACGACATTCTGGTGGAGTATGGTATCGAGGCTCGTTCGTCGAGTAGAAAACTGAATCCTGGAGTCTACGACCGCCACACCTGATCCCCCACAAATGTTTTCGCCTGAGCCCGAGTGCCAACCAGCAGAACTAAGCAACACTCGCGTGCAATCGTCGACGTTACCGAGGCTCTCCATATCTAACTTCTACTTCACTGCGTTTCATTAGCATATTGATGGAACTTGATATCTTGCGATGAGATGACATCGGCGAACAGAGAGACTATGTCTAAAATATTAAGGGCCCGAGGACGGACCCCTGTGGTACGCCAACTTGTTCACGGCTTCACGAACTGCGATCGACGGTGTAGGTGTAATGCGAGCAAGGAAAGAGGGGGCGGAGTCTGGGTCACGTGAGGAGAAGGAGGAGTCAGGGTCACGTGAGAGAGAGAATTTAGGGGGAGAACCGGAAGCGATCTGGGAGTTGAGAAGGAGTGGAAACAGGGGGAGGCCACGCTGGGCAATGGCGAGAGGGTGGCGCCATTTGCCACGTGGTGGGAGGCCACGGCACCGTCGGCCAGCGGTGTACGTGGGGCACAGCAGAGCAGGTGGGCTAGAGTTAGTGGAGTAGAGCTAGCGGAGGAGAGCTAGTGGAGTGTGGGAAGCTAGCCGGGCATGCAGAGTGTGCGGAGCGGAGCAGCGGTGTGGCTGCAAGGTGCACGGTGGAGGAGGTGCGGGTCTGAGCGAGGACGCCGCAGGGGCGAGAGAGACAAGAACCCGAATAAAGGACAACGGAGACCTACGCTGTCTGAAGAGTCCTTTATTACATAGGTATGACTCAATTCACTCGAGTGCCATACCCGATACACCGATGAGAATCTCATGGTCTGATCGAGGCCAACCAATGCTGCAGCACGCCGGTCATGCATGAACTTGTAGAGGTCATCCATGATCTTGTCGAGGTCAACAGTGATCTTTAGTAGAGCCGTTGCAGTATTGTGGAACTTCCAGTATGCGATTGTAACCGTTTAAATCACAACTGGGGACAACTTCTATTGTACCCGTGACAAGGAAAATATAGTTTTTCTATCAACAACAATCAAATATATGAAGGATAATGCAATATCCATCATGAAATGCTTTGTGCATTAGACCAATACATTTTTTTTCACATTAACAATTTAGTATTCTCATGGAGTTGTATTTTAACAGCGTTGTGAATACTATAATGACACGACTTGCAACTGAAATGATGTTGCTCATGCAATGCATTCTTTTCGTGAGACTAATGCAGTGTGAATTGCTCCTGAATGGTAAGAGATGTTTGTTATAGTCCTGTGTATAAAAACGGTTGTTGCCAAGAGCATAAAAAACACAAAAAATTTGTCATGTTCCAAATAATGAACAATAACAGTGACCAGAATAGTTGTCAATACAACAAGTGTTTGAGTTTTTTTTATTCATATGCATCCGGTTGTCGTCATGAAATTAGCTTTTTTACAATAAAAGTTGTATTTAAAATGATACTCAATTATATACTCATAGCTGCGTGTCAGCCCAGTGTGTGGCTTCATTACAATCTACACGGAGGCTTATTTCATGGCCATTTCTTTCAAGAAGAATGGCTATAAATAATACTAAACATATGGCACTATTTTTTAAGAAGAATGGCTATGAATAATGCTAAACATATGCCGCTATTTGGAAGCACTACCAGCACAAAGTGTGCTGATGGTGCAGATGTCTTTAATAACCAACATTAAACGACACAGGCTGAACACCTTTCTCTTCGACAACCTGAGACGTGACTCTGAAAGCACGTGGGACATTGTGTATGCATTACTGTGTACTGCCCTACGATGAAAGGATCGGAGAACGAAGGTTATGATCAATCTGAAACGTTAGTAAAAGCTTGTATTGTTACGCTAATAACTGTTTCGCTGTAGTGAATTCAACATATTTTATTTGAAGTGTAAATTTACATACTCTTTGGTTCTTTCGGTAAAGTCACGTAGGTATAAAATAAAATAAATCACGGGAAAGCTTCCCCACCTGATGATGGACGCTTGTTTTGCACCCGAAACGTCGTGATTTATTTTATCTTATACCTACAGTGAGGGAAAAAAGTATTTGATCCCCTGCTGATTTTGTACGTTAGCCCACTGACAAATAAATGATCAGTCTATAATTTTAATGGTAGGTTTATTTGAACAGTGAGAGACAAAATAACAACAACAAAATCCAGAAAAACGCATGTCAAAAATGTTATAAATTGATTTGCATTTTAATGAGGGAAATAAGTATTTGACCCCCTCTCAATCAGAAAGATTTTTGGCTCCCAGATGTCTTTTATACAGGTAACGAGCTGAGATTAGGAGCACACTCTTAAAGGGAGTGCTCCTGATATCAGCTTGTTGCCTGTATAAAAGACACCTGTTCACAGAAGAAATCAATCAATCAATCAGATTCCAAATTCTCCACCATGGCCAAGACCAAAGAGCTCTCCAAGGATGTCAGGGACAAGATTGTAGACCTACACAAGGCTGGAATGGGCTACAAGACCATCGCCAAGCAGCTTGGTGAGAAGGTGACAACAGTTGGTGCGATTATTCGCAAATGGAAGAAACACAAAAGAACTGTCAATCTCCCTCGGCCTGGGGCTCCATGCAAGATCTCACCTCGTGGAGTTGCAATGATCATGAGAACGGTGAGGAATCAGCCCAGAACTACACGGGAGGATCTTATCAATGATCTCAAGGAAGCTGGGACCATAGTCACCAAGAAAACAGTTGGTAACACACTACGCCGTGAAGGACTGAAATCCTGCAGTGCCCGCAAGAAAGCACATATACATGCCCGTCTGAAGTTTGCCAATGAACATCTGAATGATTCAGAGGACAACTGGGTGAAAGTGTTGTGGTCAGATGAGACCAAAATGGAGCTCTTTGGCATCAACTCAACTCGCCGTGTTTGGAGTAGGAGGACGAATGCTGCCTATGACCCCAAGAACACCATCCTCACCGTCAAACATGGAGGTGGAAACATTATACTTTGGGGGTGTTTTTCTGCTAAGTGGACAGGACAACTTCACCGCACCAAAGGGACGATGGACGGGGCCATGTACCGTCAAATCTTGGGTGAGAACCTCCTTCCCTCAGCCAGGGCATTGAAAATAGGTCGTGGATGGGTATTCCAGCATGACAATGACCCAAAACACACGGCCAAGGCAACAAAGGAGTGGCTCAAGAAGAAGCACATTAAGGTCCTGGAGTGGCCTAGCCAGTCTCCAGACCTTAATCCCATAGAAAATCAGTGGAGGGAGCTGAAGGTTCGAGTTGCCAAACGTCAGCCTCGAAACCTTAATGACTTGGAGAAGATCTGCAAAGAGGAGTGGGACAAAATCCCTCCTGAGATGTTTGCAAACCTGGTGGCCAACCACCAGAAACGTCTGACCTCTGTGATTGCCAACAAGGGTTTTGCCACCAAGTACTAAGTCATGTTTTGCAGAGGGGTCAAATACTTATTTCCCTCATTAAAATGCAAATCAATTTATAACATTTTTGACATGCGTTTTTCTGGATTTTGTTGTTGTTATTCTGTCTCTCACTGTTCAAATAAAGCTACCATTAAAATTATAGACTGATCATTTATTTGTCAGTGGGAAAACGTACAAAATCAGCAGGGGATCAAATACTTTTTTCCCTCACTGTACATGACTTTACCGAAAGAACCAAAGAGTATGAATTCCTGCAGTCACGAAAGATAAAAATCAATATTGTAAATTAATATGCTTTTGATTTATGAGTCAAGTACAATACAGATAGATTTAAACAAGCAGTGTTTTATTTAAAATGAAATGATAACAGATTTGAGACTTACATACTGTAAAGGTGCGTATATTTTAATTTGCCATGCAATACAGTTGCACAATGCCGTGTAGTTATGACACATTGGTTGCAATGCACAAGTTTTTTTCAAATGCAAAATATGATATGCAAAACATAATTTTACATCACCTCATTCAACTGGTTGTATTATAAGCACACCAAACACTAATTGCACACAATATCAAGAAAATGCTTAGAGGCATTTGCAGTAATTGTGCAAAATTACGAATTATAATCAGGGCTTCATTTCAGCAGAAACAGTCTGCAGTGGTGCTCCATTATTTATTTGCACGCCATAAATATCTCACAATATTATGTTCTGATTTGTACAAACTTGTTAATCAGATTACTGTATAGGCATAAAAGGTACAATAACCTAGAAATATTATTGGTGGGCATACCTTGCATTTGAGTGCCGATAATAATCCATACCCCAAGTCAGACTATCAGTGTTCTAGAAAATAGTGTGAAATTAAGCCCTCCTTATATTACTCTTAAATTAAGCTACAACAAACACAACGACTGGACTTGAAAATGTACGTTACATCGTCGCATGTTACTTAAGCATAAACACTCCAATGTAGCAAGCGGTGAGGAATTTTAAATCATCGTGCCGACCGGAGTTTTGATAACCCGGGGGTTATGTTGCCTTACTGCTGTTGCTCAGTACGATAGCGAATGCGTTTAACCTTTAGAGAGCGTACTGGAACTCAAACGACCGAGCCAAATAAAAGCATGTTTGCGATTCGGACTTTGGTTGGTTCGTTAAAATTCAACTCGGGGATAAAATAAAAGCGAGAATAACTGTTACACAAAAATCTACGACTTGGGGTAATTTTATATGCTAGTGCTGAGATTAAGACATGGTTTAGGTAACTTCTTTACCAAGTAAAAATTTAAATTTGTATAAAATTTACAGCCGTTATTTGACAATACTTCACCACATATAATACTTAATTAGTCGTTTCGGTGTCACGTATTTATTTGTTTCACTTCCAGCGCATTCTCTCTTTCTCTCCCTCTTTCTCTCCCTTCCTCTCACTTCCTTCACAACACCATACTGGCGATGCCGGTGTTGTTACTGGGAGCCACCCTCCGTTTCACCGTGAACATCTTCTTGAGCTCGCTTCGAAATCTGTCGTGCAGCCACGCGTAGATGAACGGGTTGTAGCAGGCCGAGCTCATGGCGAACCAGTGGCACAGCAGCTGCACCAGATTGAAGTAGTACTTGTCGATCAGGCGGATGTCCACGTCGCGCAGAAAGTTGAATATGTGCAGCGGCAGCCAGCAGACGCTGAACGCAGTGACCACGAGAACCAGGAGTCGAAAGGTCTTGCGACGCCGGGCGCGATCCATTTCCGCCTGGTTCTGGGTCACCGTGCCTGGCACCACGCGGTTCTTCAGCTTCACCGAGATCTTGAAATAGGATAGTGAGATGACGAGCAACGGCAGTCCGTAGGTGAGCACTAGGGTGCTGTAAGCGTACGCAAGGCGCTCCCTCTCCGCGCCGATCCAGAACTCCTCGCAGATGGTCATGTGCTGCTCCGGGAACTCGCAATAGTAGGTGTGAGCCAACGCCGGGGCGGCGAGCGCGCACGCGGTCACCCAGATCGCGGCCAGCAGGTAGCCGCACGTGGGGATGGTGATGCGGCGGCGCAGCGGGTACACGGTGACGATGTACCGGTCCACAGCGATGACCGTGAGCGTGAATACCGACACGTACACGGACACGGGCTGCATGAGAAACACGAAGTAGCACATGAAGCTGCCGAACACCCACCCGCGCGCGTCGAACACGTACGCCAGAGTGAGCGGCACGCACATGGCGCACATGAGGAGATCGGAGAAAGCCAGGTTTCCGATGAGCAGGTTTGTCACGTTGTGCATCTTCTTGACGCGGCAGATCACGTAGACGAGCAGGAAGTTTCCTACGACGCCCACGACCACCACCGCTGTGTAGAAGAGCACAACGAATGGTTTCAAGGTGCGGATGAGCTGCACGCCCTTGAAGGGGGTCGACGCATTCGTGGTGGCCGAGGAGGCGGTGGTGGCCGCGTGGTCGAGCATCATCGCGTGAAGCGACACGTTCCTGTCACCCCACTCGTCCATGGTGAACGTGCTGAGCTCCATCGCGTGCGACGAACGCGCGGCGCCCGTTCAGCACCGGGGACAGCTACTTTATTAAATTAGCCGCGCGCGTTCCCGTTTAGAATCTAGTGCCTAATCGAGGCTTCCCCAGAGGTCCAGTTAAATTGATGTGTTTGCTTGAAGGGCAGAGCCTGGGAAAGTGACATTTAAATAACACGTGAATACATTGTCTAAGCTGATTCGGCTTGTGCAGCAACAAAAACGCTGGCTGCTCTATAAAAAACATATTTTAACATTGAGCTTTTGTGTTCGAATGAGTCAGCTTCGTTCTTTCACCGGTAACGGCCATTAACGCTGCTCTCAGAATGCATAACTTTCACACGGACGCAGCGAACGGTGTGATCGCAGCGAACGGTGTGATTAATTTACACGTGCAAACTTCACAAGCAGAAATGAATGATCACATTCCTATATGCGCGTGCACTTGTTTTTTGTTGTTGCAAAACACGCACCCGGGTACAGCAGTTTGCATCGAATATGCATGCACGCTGGAGACGTGTCGGTAGGATGTATTACGCACTTACGTTTTTTGCAGAGTGAATGGTCCCTTCCAAGCAGCTTAAAGAGGCGTCTGAATAGTGGCTGGCAAGCCCACCCTCTGACGCCTGCTGACATTCAGTCTCCGGTTTTGTATGCCTTCAGGTCGACATATTCCGACACGAGACCATACACCCACCCACTTCCTCCCGTCCCCAGCGATTTACGCTCCCCCCCCCCCCATGTTTAACGCATATAGTTGACAAGCGCAAACGGGGTAAATTGGAATGTAAATGGCATACCGAAGGTGCCTTTGTTGGCGTATTTTATGATAATGTGTAACGTGCAACACAAACGCTTTTATATGAACGGTTTATTCTGTATTTTGAATATATGTAGCATTTAGCAGAGTATTGTGCAATACGGTATTCACAGTATAGATATTTATTAATCACAAATGTGAATAAGTGACATTTTCACGGACATATCTCAAAATTAACCCCCCCCCCCCCATTTGTATTACAACTGTACTATCAGTGTCATGTCAGTCATGAGACAAATACTTCTTCCATATAGGTAACTGGCAGCTAGCAGTGCATCACTATGTGTCTGTTAACAACCCCAGATGATAAGGTCACAATTGCTTTATACTGTCACTTCAATCGACTTATCTTCACAATATGGGCGCACATTCTTTGTGCACTGCAATCCATTGAAACCGATTTTCTATTTTATTTTTGGAGCTGGAATAAACTCAATTCATCCATAAACCAAAATTAATGATGTTTGTTGGCGCGCAGTTATTGGTAAGCGGTCCTGAGGTCATAAACTGCACTTGAGAATCCGGTTTCACTGCCTGTATTCCCAATCCAGGATGTCGGCTGTGCCGGCCCATTGCTCTGACAGAGCATTCCCCTCCAGAGTCACCAAACGTGCATTTTTCAATAACATCGGCTTTCCTCAGTTGCTTCAGCATCCACCACACCATCCTCCATCTCCAATTTGCTCACACTTATATGTGAAAATCACTGTCTGATCCTTTCTGAATTGAGAGTATATATTACCATCCCTGAATAGAGGCACGATATACGTAGCCTAAGGTACAGTGTTATTAAAATAATATTTAATTGGACGATATATAGTTCTCATAAATACGACAGCTATTCCTAAAAATGTATTCAATTTGTGAAATAACAATCGAAAATAACCACAAATTCATCGGAATTATAATAATGACACAAGAATATGCACAAAAGATAATTAGCCTCAACCCTCCGAGGACAGTTTTGTGGAAATTTCACTAAAGGAGAATATTTTGCACATTTTCAGGTCCATTTGCATTTGCACATGTAAGCAGAATTAATTTCCCTATTATCCTTAATTATAAAATATAAATGGAAAATTATGACAATAGGCACTTAGGCACACTTCCATACGTATTATAATGTTATTAACGAGGAACTATTACAAAAAGCCAAGGGCATCACAATTGATGAAAAATATATACATTTTTAAGGAGGACATGAAAGATTAAAATGTATTCACAATCAGTTAAGAGATTCAACGAAACAAAGAGTATTTAATCTAAATTGATATGGAAATGCATATTGTTACATTCATATAACAGTACTGAACTTGTAAAATTATGTTGTCTTTTGAAATATTGTATCTTTTTGGCAAACGTGAATTGTTTTATTGAATCGCTAAACTATTCCAGAAAATGAATTATTTTAAAAATAGTTTTCTTGACAAAAGTCTGCATAATCCAAAAGAAACCTCCTTAAAATACTGAAAACTGATATTGCTAAGTTTGAGAATGCTTTGATATTGGAAGATATTTTTGAATTGTTTGATGCCATGGTATTGTATAGTCTCATCATCATCTATCACTTCTGGATGATGGCTTACACACGCCGTGATCATCCCTTGCGGTCTTGCGATGCAACAATCCGTTTTGTATGTGCGGATCGCTGATCGCATCACGCCACATCGGAGGTGGTCATCCTCTTGGCAACATTCTCTTCTTTGGTTTTCCATTTTGTTACGAGCCTTGCCCGTTGGCCATCATCCCTTTGAATGAGATATATCGTCTATCCGAGACTACTTTTTCAATGATTGATATGGTAGCCCTGATTTCTATGTTTCATTTCTAGTGCTGTGCTCCTCTTTTTGTTAACGTAACCCTGAGCTTGTACCGTGGATGTTTATTTTCCACCCATTGTTACTGGCAGTGTGTAATTAATTAAAACATCCACATCGTTATCATGTTCATCTTTCTTGTTGTCCTGTTTATATCAACAGTTTAAACCTGATCTTCCTTTAGAAATTGCCTAGCTATGCATATTCTATAGGTTTTAAAAACGTTCTCTCACAATATTATTTAGCAGCTTATGTTGTATATGCCCTTTTTTATTTAGCTTATGTTTATCTTGAGTGATTCTTGGTGTCCTTATTTGTTAAGTTTCAAAATTATATCTTGTAAGTTTAAATTAGTGTTTATGAATCATCAGATAATGTGAAATGGTTACACAACATGCTGTTTATCTATCCAATATCATTTCCGTTAAATGTGTTCTAATGTTGCTGAGATAAACCCTGGTGAAAATGTATGTTGTCTGTCACCTCTTTTATTGTATTTTTCTGCATTTTTAATGAAATCTCATGCAGTGGTATTGGTATGTGAGACCTTGAATGAATGCATCTGTACCCACTGAAAAAAATACCTCTTTGAAAGACTTGTTTCTTCACGTCTAGTGTTGTATTAGAAACAATGGTGATTTAAAGCTTTCGTGACTGCAGGGATTCATATTCTTGGTTCTTTCGGTAAAGTCACGTAGAAGGGAAACAATAAAATAAAATTTAAAACAATACAATTCTCACAATGTTTTGACTGTAACACAAGCAATCATCATCAGGTGTGAAAAACACAGCAAGAACATTTGAAATTTTCTTGCTGTGTTTTTTCTTTCTGTGTTTTTTTTTTATTGTTTCCCTTCTACGTGACTTTACCGAAAGAACCAAAAATACAGAAACAATGGTGCCGCGGTGGTGAGATGTTTTTGGAGTATGCATGTTTTCCCGATCGTCGTGTGGATTTTTTTCCGGTTTCTCTGATTTTTCCATGCACATTTAGATCATTTGGTTGCAATACATTTCCGCAAAATAATCCACTTCGTTGAGCTATCATTTGTGGCCAGTCGCTTCTGAAAAAGAGCTAATAGCTCAGTGGGCTTTCCCTGGTAGAATATAAATATGGGAATGAATGGACATATATACACTTTAGTGTTGCAGACAAATGTATATACACAAAGGGTGGGAAGATCTTTTACCAGTAGGGTAGCTGGGCTTTTATTGCAGGTTGACCTGTCTAAGGACAAAATGGAGGTAAGATAATCTACGCTGCAACTAAAGTCTTATAACGTAAGAGCAAAGAATATGTCTGTTAAATACTCAATACAGTTTTTCTTTGTTTTTTTCAGACGTAGAGAAGTGCTTTGTAAGCAGAGGTGCATGTATGTTATGAAAAACACACGGGATATAATGGGAGGTCTAAGTTTCAGGGTAGTTATTAAATGATAGCATTCCATTTTTATTTGTGTTCTAGATAAATGCTATTTTAGCCTGGAGTTCAGTAGTAGTTGAGTGTGGGCAATCCTAGAGCACATGTTGTTTTAAAGAAGTGGGTTTGTAAAGCTTAACGTTTTGGATAGAGTTCAACATACATACATACATGGAGTTGTGTTGCACAGTTGTGTTCCACAGACATCTTTAAATTAGTTAAGTATGTATACCTAGGGGGCAGTTATTGAAGGTGGACTGGGATCAAAGTTACGTAATAAAATAGGCAAACGAGAGCTTTTTAACAATGCAAAACAACATAACAATGGATCTGAAGAAGAAAGCGTTTGAATCAGTGAATATTCTCTGTTGTGACATATGGATCAGGAAGGTTGACAATGCTGTTCTGAAGGACCACAGTCGCACACTGGAGAGTTTTACATTTTCCAATTATGCATCAGGTATCCGCATCTGCCATGATTTGTGCGGATGCGGTTTAGTGTGGACCATGAGCTTCGTGGAAGGTCAAACCCAGGATCTTCTGCATTGGGTCTTTGACAAGTTGTTTGTTTAAGAGTTCTTTTGAACTCGTCAGTCAGCTAATGTGGTGTCAACAGCTCATCCTGCTTCTTTGGTGATGTCTGCGGTTTTCTTGTCTGGTCTAAAACCTTTCACTTTGTAATAAAGGCTTTTGGGTTAGATCGCGTAAGTATAAATGTGTCGCAACCCTCCACCACCCGACAGGGCCAATCAGTAAAACATGTGTCACGTTATATTCACTTAAGGGGAGAGACATTGTTGAAAATCATCTGATGAAATCTTTCACGTCTGGCACATTCTCATTTTCAACGGTTTTACTTAACTTGATTCCTCTGTTTGTCGTGGTCAAATCTTATAATCAAAATTTCGTCCACTTCCTGTTGTCCAATCATATCCACTTTTTGCACACGTACTCAGATCCGGTGACAATGCATGCATGTGTAATGCGAGCGTAAATGGGGTTGCTGCTGGGCTTTGGCCCAATCATACGGCCCGGGGTATTGGAGGCGGAGCCCGGTATGTGGGGCATGTGGGAGGGGCCGCCGTTCACCTCGGCTCCAATGGGAAGCGAGGTGAATGGAGGTGGAGCCAGCAGGGCAGTATGGGAAGGCCGGATCGGACGATCCGGAAGGGGAGGAGTCAGGGTCACGTGGGAAAGAGGATATAGAGGGGAGCCCTGAAGAGATCGGGGTCAGTTGATGGAGTGAAGAAGCGGGACCACGTTGGGTGGCCGCTGCGCCATCAGCCACGTGGCTGATGGGGCTTCGGCACACCGTCGGCCAGCGGTGTGCGGAACGGGGAGGAGCGGAGCGACTGACGGGAGAGGAGCTGACGGGAGAGCGCCGGCGCATGTCCTCCAGCGACCACGTGGCAGGCCGCCGCCATCTTGAACATCGCGGCGGAGAGGCGGCCGTGCGCTGCCATCTCGGAGGCGCCGCGTAGTGGGCATCCTGCTGCTGAGCAGCTGTTTTGCGGGAAGGAGCCGCAAGGAGAGGACGCCGATGCTGCTGCTGCCGGGGCGGGAGCACCCCCGTCCTGGCTCGTGTGCGAGACACC